GCCCCGCACCAAGGGCCGTTTACGCTACCCTCTCCAGGGGGCTCAAATGCCCCGCAAATTCGTTCCTTTCACCGCACTCTCCCTATCTCCAAGCCTTTCGCCTAACGAAATTTTAAAGAAGTTGTGCTTTGGATTTACATTCATTTAGTAAATTAATGAAACAATGAAACAAAAAATTAATGAATCAATGAAACAAGGAATTTTATATTAATGATATGTCAATAATAATTTATAGTATATTTATTTAATGAAGCGAGAATCCTCTGTCGATGGTAATGCCTGATCTAATGACTGATATTTGTCAATATTACATTTTAAATTAATTTTTTCATCTAAAAATCTTGTTAACAATTGAAGTGCTTTGAAGCTGCAATATTGACGTTGAAATCACTTTCATTTTTTTTTCAAATCTTTTTTCAACAATGCTGCAACGTCAACAGTGTATGCCAACTATAAACTTCATAGAGTATTCAATGATATAACTAACTTTTTTATTGATATTTATTTGGCCACCATCATACTCATTTGGCAAAATTCGAGTTGGCATTTAGGTGCACAAATGACGCACATGCCTGCTCAAATGTCCCGTATATGCTAAAGTAGCTACGTGTTTTACTCACATGTTCATAACAGTTTCTTCAAATATTCCCCCCGAAAATGCTGTCCTCTTCATTTCCCCACGCTGCGAGGCAACCGTCGCCTACTCCGATCTCAACGAGAACTACTCGTTTCACTTTTCAATTGATTCCGGCCCATTTGGTCTATCGAAAATACAGACGTTTTACTTCAAAAATCTGGTTTATGAAAGCGAAGGGTCAATCAATCATTTGTGCTCATATGGATTGTAGTGAAACAGGCTGTAATACAGTGTGGTCATAGAGCACAGAAATACAAGACGGTGTTTTATAAGTAAATTCGAAAAAACTAGTAATTGATATTCACAAGCAAAGCCCACATGAACATTTAACAGATTAATGAAATGTAACACACTAAGTTTGATTGAGATGAACATAATATTGACTATGATTGGGTATCACTTCCTTTAATGATTTAAAAAAAACACCTTAACAATTGAAGCTGCTCAGGAAATGAAACACTTTCGTGCTGTGGGTAATACTTGACAATAATAACATAGGAAGAACTACCCAAAGAATTTATGACAAGAAATGTTTACCTCGATTTGAACATAACCAAAATAACTGGTTGAATGTGCTTCCTCTCTTATTGGAGTAATCAATTTCGTACTCAGTCTACCCCCTGAATCGGATACATTCTAAACTCGTTTATAGAAAACACTTCTTTTAATCCATATTATTCAGAGAGATCAAGTGTACAATACAGAAAATCCAACAATCATATGTATATTTAAAACAATAAAAATTATTTCGTTAGTTCAATATCAACATGGAAATATTAAAAATTATTACGTATTGTTTTTCATGGAAATATAAAAGTTAATTAGCCATATTAACTGAATTGTATTTAAACACAATATTTGTATTTCATTCGCCATGACAAGTAGGAAAAATATGTTTTTGTGGCCAAAAATGAGTAAAAAGTATTGTTATATCGAATATTATTGTTCGTAATTAATGTTTTGGCCAGATATGATTCTCAGTTGTTCCGTTTTTTCTTCTTTGTTGTTATTTTCTGTGGTAATCATAAAATCTAAAGTACTAGTGTAGTCTTTAAGGTGGATTCCCAGTTTATTTTTACATATAATTTACTGAGGAATATAAGTAACATCAAAACATTTTCTTAAGAAATCAATCTTTGGCCTCACATTCCGTTAGAAAATTCAATTTACATATTTTCAGGTCTGAAAAAAATCTAACTAGAAAAATGAAATAGTTAATTGTGTTGAAAGGGCTTTCACGTAAAAGCCTCTCAAGTGCTCGCGTAAGATTTAATTCGGCCCTTATCATTCCAAAAGAAGTTTACGTCGAAACAAAACTAATTATAACACATTGGAATAATTTTATTCTATTGGCAATTAGAGTAATATTTTTAGAGTAGGATTTAGAGTAATATTTTTAGGAAATTAGAGTAATACTATTTACATTATTACTACGTACATAAAGACGATATGAAGAGTGTTTAGAAAGCGTAAATTGATTTTGAAATGCCACAAATACTTTAAATCCTTTGAAAGAGACGATAGTACACTTAGAAAAACACAACGAAGATTGTAATTGAAACGTTGTGTCCATCAACATTTCGGTAAGCGCGCGTTGTTGGAAAAACGCTACAGCTGCGGAGGAGGAGGTTATTCATACATACAACAACCCCTCATTACATTATATTACATTTTGGTACAGTCAGACACGTATAACAATCGTAAACAAAAATTCCTAAGAAAATGGCTTAACGTTTTTTCGCAATGATTAGAGACGTGGTGAAAATCCTATGTTTGCATTGTGTTTTCCAGGCATTTGAATAGTAGAATACATACGCAATCAATACGTACATATGAATAAATCACAAAATAAAATCGTTTGCTAATCTTGAAATATCACGTGACAGGCGCTGAAACTACTTGGCGCAACACAATCCATCACGCGCAGCAGCGCGTCGAGCGAAACGAATTCAAAGATACAACCGAGCGCGCAACATTATCCCCTCGCTGCCTCGGGCACCCGACGCCCATTGCCCCTCCACAAAAGCGTCGGGGCAACGCTTCACTGGCGCCCTCCACCCTCCCACGTTTCCCACCCCGCCCCCTACCCGCCCCTACCCGCCTCCCTACGCCGCGCCGCGCCCGCGCCGCCCCGCGCCGCCCCGCGCGCCTCCGCGTTTCGCGCCCCGCGCCGCCCGCGCCGCCCCGCGCCGCCCGCGTCCGCCCCGCGCCGCCCCGCGCGCGCCCACCCGCGGCCGGGCCTTCTGTCTGTCTCTGCCCCGGCGCGCCCCGGCGGGTCGCCCAGCGCGCCCTGCCTTGCGCTCGCCCCGCGCTCCGCGCTCCGCCACGGCTCCGCCCGCCCCGCGCCGGCCCGCTCCGGTCCGTCCGGCCCGTAACCACTCGCTCCGCCACGGGAGCTCCACCCGCCCAGCTCCAACCACCGGCGCCGCGCCCGCGCCGCCGCCGCGCCGCCCGCGCGCCTGCGCCGCCCTGCGCCGCCCGCCCCGCTCTCGCTCCCGCGCCTCCTCATCCGCCCCGCACGCGCCCGGCCCGCTCACCGTCCCAGTACCGGCGGCGTCGGCTACCGCCAAGCTCCACCCAGCTCCGCCCCGTGCCGGGGGCCGCCCGCTCCTGCCCGCTCCGCCCCCGCCCCGCCCGCCCCCCCCGCTCCCGGCCCGCACCGCCCGCAAATCGACAATACCGTCGCCGCGGCTCCGGAGGCGCGGGCGCATCTCCCGCGAATCAAGTGACGGGAACAGCGGCGGCGCGGGCAGGGGTGCCAGCATGACAGATCGTCTGTCCGGCGGTCGACCGTCGGCCCGGGCGCGTTTTGGCAACCGGATATCCGGCCGGGATCAGCGGTATCGCGACGGCAACCAGAAGGCTCACTCCCTGCGGCCGCGCCCCGCCCCGCCCCGCCCCGCCCCGCCCCGCCTCGGCCGGCCCGCCGCGGCCCGGCCCCTAGCCCAGGCGGCGGCGAGTGGGCGGCGGCAGGCGCAAAGGGCCATCCGAGGCTGGGCGCCGAAAAGGGCCCGAAGTTGATGGATGGGCCGAGCGGGCTTAAGGGCTGGCGCCCATGGGGGCGCCAGAAACAGTCGCCCTTCCTCCAGCGAACCCTGCGATCACCCACCCCGCTCGCCGCCGCCCCCGGACGCGAGAATCGCTTGCTGCCTTCGCTGCCCGCCACGCCACGCCGCACGCCCGCGCCCGCGCCCGCGCCCTGCGCCCGCGCCCGCGCCCCGCGCCCGTTCGCACCCGCGCCCGCGCCCGCGCCCGCGCCCGCGCCCGCCGGTCACGTGCCGCCGCTGCTGGAACCTCTTCGCTGCCTCCGCCTTCACACTCGCCGCGTACCTCCGTCACTGTGGACGATTCAAAGCGATTGGCGATTATTGAAAATTAATCGATACTTTGCGAAACAATAATTTTTGTGTAATTGTCGATTTCAATTAATCGATTAATAGAATAATCGATTAAATTTTCAGTTGTACGTATACCTAATGAAGAGGCTGTAAAGCTAAGGAAAATCGATATGCTGTTTGAATAGAAATACACGTTGTGGTGTGCCTTTATTATTAAAAGGTGTACTTCCTTTAAAAAGTCCATGTCAGTCTGTTTGCGAACAACACTTGCGCCTAAACCGTTCCCCGATCAATCTTCTCCGCGTCCCTATGTCGCTGTCCCTCTGTCACTGGGAGAGACTCAACACTAAGAATGGGCAATTATTGAAAATTAATCTATTCCTCCCAATTCAATTAAGTTTTTGCCCTATTATCGATATAAACTAATTGGTTAATAGAGTAATCGATTAATTTTTACCTTTGCATACACGTAATGTAGAGAAGGTTATGTAATGCAGCAGAAAATCGATGTAGCCCTACGATTTTAATGGAAATACATATTTTGGGGTCCCTTGATTTCGCAAAAGGTTTTTTTCTAAAAAAAAGTCCGTCTGCCAGACTATTTGGAAACAATACTAGAACCTATATCATTCATAGGATTACCCGATCGATCTCAGATCGAGACGTAAGAAATTTGAAAGGAATCCTTCAGCTTTTGGAAGTACTGCAGAGAAAAAGCCCCTGGGGGAGTTCCAATACTTTCTCAAAACTAAGACTAACGTGTTCTTCAAATGCTTTGCAAGAATAAAATGCAATACATTTATAAATATTGCTTCAATCACCTTCACGTCATTTTCGGTTAGATAATAGCGAAAAAGTACACATATGAACTTTTCGATTTTAGGCGCCCGATATTGGTTTATTACCATCTTGTTATAAAACGCTATTGGGCGTTTTCAAACTCAGAAGTGGAATAGTCAAATAATATCCCTTCTAATATTCTAGAGAGTATCTTAAAAATGTTAATTTACAGTTGATTCACTACCTATTTCCAGCACTCAATATTGATCACGACCCCTAATAACTTGATAAGATAACTCCAACCAAAATAAGACGAAAAAGACGACTAAAGATAAATTAAATTGTAATCATTTTCAATTAATACAGATAAATAAATCTGAAGTGTCTGTCCGTCGCTATGAATCGATTTCACTAAAAACCTACTAAATCTCTCTCCATGAAATTCAAACAGATTATAACTACCTATGGGATCAACTTCCTTTGTGTTTTATCGTATATTCTCAACAGTTCCGAAGATATGATTCGGACCAAAAATTTAACTGTAGCTTTCCAATAAATATCGGCTCACGTTCCTTAGCTGTGACGAAGAAAAGGTTAGGAAGGCTGATTTAGATACGATGAGGGAGAACGTAATTACGCCAGTTCTTACCTTTAAAAGGTGAAAATACCGCTAGAAACCCAGGAATGTGAGAATAACATTAGTAGCCGGCGAGGGTCGAACAAATTGATCCAAATGCCAATAAGCACAAACATTTTGAACTAAATATTATAAACTTTAACTAAAGACAAATATAACGCCAAAATATAGAAGGTACACACCTTACTAATACTCATTAAGGTCAAGCCTCATTTCCAGCCACCACACCCAACTCCACATGGAGATGCTAAAGTACGTGGGTCCATCGCACGACAAGTTTGAATCGGCCCACGGCCCGAACAGCAAAGGAATGAGAAATGGTTGAATTGAATGAACCATGCGCTACAGCCACTCCATGCTCCTCCACCATGTGTTTCCCGGTCAAGTTCATGTTAAATTAGAAATATAACCAGACAACAACATTCTGACGAAAACTCATGCAAATGTATCAAAACAATATGTATTGACCAACTTTGTTAATATTGTTAATATTGTTATTATTATTATTATTATTATTTAAACTAACAGATTTAAATTAACAGACGTACAGACTGACAGTCATTTTCCCATCAGTCGATTTTTTGGGTGTTAAAGGCACACAAAACATTGATTACGACTGCGCGTGTTAGGAAGAAATTTCCTATACATAGGAAAAATATTTATACGTTTTTTCGTTACCAGTGTTCGGCAATAAGATTTTTTTCTGTAAAAAATTCATCGTTTTCCGTCTATTACAATACTTTCTCTTCTTACAAAGTAAGTGTGAGATAGTAAAAGAACTACAAACTTGATTTGACTATTAAAATTAGGTTTCTTTAACTAGGGTGCAAAAATGTTTTATTTTCAAATGTTGCCAACTTTGCTATGTACTTTTTAATTAATCTTACTATTTTTTAGTCCAGCATTTAACTCATATTTACGGCTAAAGAGTAAAGAAGAGATTCAGGAGCTCAACAAAACGTGTAGAGATTGTACTTCTCTCCTGTACGTCACATACTGAATTTACTGTTCTATGACGAAAATATTTCAAATCAAATGCTTAAAAGCGCGCGGTATCAATGCACAAAATATAACTATATGATATAGCCATGTTTATAATTATTATGGGTGAAATTTACAATCTAAATTTTAAATTTTGTCCCCAAACATTCACCACACGCATTATGCTGTAATATGCGAACGTTTAAGTACTTCATAGGATCAATGCTCTTCATACTCAGGTTTTATGATCAGGAAATTCTACTCTGCGATATATTACTAAAATGTTACAATATATATTTTTGAAGAACAAAATTAGAGACATTTTATAACGAAATGTGTTAAAACTAAAATATTAGATAGTTAATTTTCATATCAATTTTACAAAGAACAGGGAACATAACCACGTTAATGACTCATAGCAATCGCTAGAAACTGAGGAAACTCCAGCTATCTGCGACAAACGACAAAACTTGAGGTCAAACAAGGAAAAAAATAGTATCTTCCCTAGTACGAACGTCAAATTCCGATACGCGGCACGGATAACGGGTAAAGCGAAAGAGTCCGATTACATTACGGTCGCTTTATATAAGCGTTCACAAATTGTAAGCGCACATTCAGCTCTTCCAGTGTTGTCGGTACCGCAGACCTCGCTCGTGGCCATGTCCTTCTCCGTTGCGTCTGTCCCGAAGGTGGCGGTGGTCGCCGTGGCGCTCCTGGTGGCAGTGCTGGTAGGCGGCACCCACGCGCAGACCACGGATTCCGGCATCATGAACTCCTTAAACACCATCTTTGCCCACACCGCCCGCAGAATCATCCAAGAAATCTGCACAGTCGTCCCAGAGGAACTCTGCAATGTGATGACCCAGGTGAGGGTTTTCTTAAGAGTTTATTCCACCCTCCAGTACGGTCGACTGAAGAAGCCGCAAATTACGATTTCGTGTCGGTGAAAGGTCTATAAAGTAGAAATTGTAAGTTGTGGTGTTGAATAGCTTCCATTTATGTCTTCAAGTTTCGATTGAAAAATGTTTGAACGGGAAGGGTCAGTTTGTAACTGGGAACTTTCAATTCTCTGCTTGTGTTTCATATCGAAGCGCGTCCCCTGCCTGCAAATGCTTGAAATACTGACATTAAAATTTCTAAAAGCACTGTATTCGTTTTTACGAACACTTACTTTTTATACTTGAGACGTTATAGTAGTTTTCAAAACTTTGTCGCGTAGAACTTTGAAATCGATATCCATGAAAACAAGTAAGTTTTCATTTCTGAAATAAAAATAAACAAGACTCACTGAGAGCGCTGTTTCTGCTGAATAATATGATGGCCACCATTGTAGTGGACAGGTGGGTAACTCATGAACTGTGTTGAGTCAGTGATAGGAGCGAATTAGCTGTTTAGAATAACGACACGTCCTTTTCAGTACGTGTATTATTTCACTGTATGAAAATATAGTGAAATAAAATGGTTAAGTTGTGCGGCATATGATTACTAGAACAAATTAATTGTTTAAATTCTTACATCCTCCTCACAAAGAAGTATTACGGGTAAATATGTTAGGTTTCTAATTGGCAATTTATTATAAATATTGAAGACGAAAACGCCATTTTGTTGCATAAAATAAAAAAAATTAATTGTTTGGACCTTACGCGTGAAAACTTGTATATCGGTGTTGTTAAGGAAAATGGCAGCTGACGTAGAAAATGTACATCAAAAAATTGTCTACATTTAGCTAAAGTTTTGGTTTTTCTTTTCATCCTATTATTCCTTGTATACTTACCTCAAAGAAAGGTAATGATGAAAACGAGCGCAAATGCCTTATTAGATCTTAAACACACGCACAAGTCATTCCCAACACAAGCGGACCCAGCGTCTTTTAATTTATCGATTTATCCGGTGCTGAACTGAACTGTGTCCTCCTGCAGCAGCTACAGGAGTACGGTAACAACAAAGATAGTTTAACTAATAAAATAGCTAGCAGCAGATTATATAGATACACATAAACAAACCGTGGACTCGTAACGATGTTTCAATAATAAAAAAATGATTAAATGTGACTTTTCAGCATTTTTAAGCCAATATTGAATGAATATAAATATGTCTTTAATACAAAATAATTCGGACAATACCATATATTCAAAATATAACATCTAATACTGATACCAAAATAAAACACTCCTAACGAGGATTACAAATATATACAGCGAGAATAATTCCATTAATAATAATAGTAGACTGTTCTAACAATATCAATTGAAGTAAAATAAAACTTTTGATAAAAATCTACAAAATCAAGGAAATTGTTGTGAATAGAATATCATCATATATGCATCTTAATTAATCTTGTAGATAATACGTTGGGTTCAGATATTTCATTTTATTTGTACAACTCACATTCCCCGATACGCCAATCTTACACGTTGCAGTTGCCTTTTGCTCTTCGTTATAACATGTTTGACAAATAGTTCCAAAACAACTCTTTTGCAGGTTTCGGAAGCCATCATAAACGCGTTTGTCTCTACAACATCCTGAAGACCACGACGAAATTAAGATTATGACAAAACCGAAGGATGGAACATCAGAAGCACATCAGAAACTGTACATAATTTGATTTTTTCGCAATTATTGTTGAAATAAACATTTTTAAAGAATATATATTTCTGAATGAATATTTTTATACTTCCCAACCCTGTTTTTATTTTCCAGACCCAAAGCAACGATGGTAACATTCATTCTTGCTCCAAAAATTTGTTTTCATTTCCGTACATAACGCAGTTAAAACATTTCGAGGTGGCAGCTGAAGTACAATACTTGTTACAAGTTCTTTACAATTATACAATCCAAATGGTATATAATGCATTAAATATCATTGTTAAAATTAATACTACTTTCCTTTTGGATGCTCGGTATAGTCTTTAATTGTATAGAACCTCTAATAGTAGAATTGAAATATGACTTTAAAATATTAAAAAGTGGTAAAACTCTTATTTGCAAGTTTTCATTGAACAGTTCGAAACTCTTTCTGGAGAAAAAGTCGTTTAAACGTATCAGTAAATGCGCAATTCTCAACCCATTTATCTAGAAAAGTTATGGGTTTTCGAGAAATTGTATCGAAAATCACGTAAAGTACTTGCGATCACAAATGCAACAATGCTGAAGAACTCCGCGTGGCTGGGGTATTTATCATAACAATTTTTTATTAAACAGAGAGGGGAATTCCATCTATTCCCGCCCTATGGCGGGCCCTTTTACCTATTCTACTGTATCTCCACTCCGCCCTACTCTATCTCCGTCTCTCTGCCTTGCTCCAATCTGGAAATACCCGGTCCTCCGTACTCACTAAAACACGTTCTCACTAAAAAAATACTTAAATTTTGTTCCTATTAGGGTTCCCGTCCCGAATCTTCTTTCACTTTATAACTGAAAATGATAAACAAATCTAAACAAAAAAACGCATGTTCACACGTATATTATTTTTGTGAAATTTTATATATTGTGTCAGTATTTCCAAGCAATTGCCACATTATATAACATTTAAAAATATATATTTTCTTCTCAACTATTTATAAAAAGGTTTAAATTCATCAATCGAAGTTTAAAAATAACTAAAGTAATTTTTAATTCAATTCGAGTACGTGTTTAGTATCCTTGATAAATAGGGGTAGCCGGAAAGTAGCCATCAACCACTTAGTTATAAAAGCTTCAAATATCCGAGATCACAATGGAGCCCGGCTTGACGTAACTTGTGTCAACTACTTCTTTTCTTGAATCACACTGCCGTTTTAAATTGAATTGAATTGAAGTCTTATTTTACTTGGCGAAACTCTTGGCTCTTCCGTCTGACCACGCAAATTTCGCTACGCTCCTTTCACCAACTAGCAGAGAAAGGAGGTATTTCTTGGGCGAGAAATAGGCAATTTCAATTTACTTCAGAGGCATCATTTAGGCTTGAGGATCATTTACTGCAAGTAAATCTATTAACACGGGGCAGCCGGCTTTACTTCCCCTCGAAGGACGGCGTGCAAAGAATTTTTTTCGCCCTTAAAAATCCAAGGCGTGGGATTTGAACCCGCCAACTTGGGTATAACAGTCCGATACGCTAAGCGTTACACCATGGGCGTGCGCAAAACTTTACTATAAATTATATTGTTTCCGTTCGGTCATCAGTTTAATCATTTCTTCAACACCCAAAGGTACGCTTTCACTCTTCACTATATTAAAATATTTTTCTACAAAAATGCATCCATCTGCCAGTTTCAGCATAACACACGAAAATCATTCATATGTTTTCGCTCTTAACGCCCAACTTTCAAATATATAATAGAGAGTTTTTGCAAGTCGTGGGATTGAAAGTCGTAACACGACAATTCTGGGGAGAATTTGTACTGCGCATGACGGGAATGACGGATCCACTCATTCTCCCTTTTTTGTTATGATATATGACAAACTTACACTTTACGTAGTTTTCGTTGCCACCACTAAACACGATATCAACACCCACGCTCAATGAGCATGGAAGAAATAACAAATGCATTGTCCATAGTACCAATATAATATGGTAAGAACTTAATGGTTAATATTTTTCAAATTAATTCAAATACGTCAGAAATAAACTAACGTAATTGTTTAGGATTTGAGGTTATGTATTGTCCTAAAAAATAATTATGGTGTTAAATACATGTCCTATTGCTAATATAACAATATAAATATGTTTTAGTAAAATTGTGCTAGTTATCTTTGGAGACAAAGCTGAACTATTGACATTGATGCACTCTTGAGTCTGTGATGTAAAGCTAGGCGAAAAATTATGAGAAACGTAATTATTTTGTAAATATATTAAGAATTATGGTTAAACATAATAGCCAGTAGTACTCCAGGCCTTTGAAGGAAGATATCACAAACGTTCCATCGGTATTAATTCAGAGATTATCGTGCTGTAAGTCAACGCACTTCTGTCTTTATATATATGTAAAGATAACAAATTCACTAACCAAGGTTCAGGTTCACTATAATCGAATCTTTTGATGCTTATTTGTAATGGAAGTGAAATGGGCCCACTGACTCAAGATCACTATAACCTACAACCGGAGTCCACTGTATTACGTTGTAAATGTGGTGTCTCCTGGAAGAGCCCTAACGGCTACTGCCATCCGCAGCGAGTAAGGCATTACCTTTTGGGACACTCATTAGGCCTTCACAAGTGGCCGATACGTCAACCACCGGCACCGGCGCTGCCAACGTTTCTGGAATGTACCATCACACCGCCCTTCTGCCATATCTTTGCTGTTTTAGACACCCGAGATCCTACCTTCCTGCTATTACGAGCGGAACAAATTCCTCAAATAGAACGGAAGAAAGACGATATAAGGCGTATCGTATATACTACCACAAACTTTCTTGCCAGATGATATTCTTTATACAGGAAGGAGACTCGTAATAACGACAGTTTAGTGTTTTCGAGGTGTACTTCCTTATTAACAAATATGTAGTCAAAAAAAGAAAAAAACATTAAACATATCTTAATCTGAGCTTAAACACTACAATTAATTATCTACAATTATGGGATAAAATTTTATAACTCGTATATTTCTACCATTGATGGCCAGACTAGACTCTGAAAGAAACAAGATATTACGTAAAAACGATTGGTAAGTCAAAAAAACTCCACCAACAAAGTTCATGCATGAACTTGGACAAACACGTTTCCTTTAATCGAAGCATCTTTTCAAAACACGATTTCTAGAATTTGATATTACCATTTAAAATCAAAAAGGGAAATTAGGGTGAAATCAAAGAACAATGAAAGCCAGAGCGCTCGTTTGTTTTAAGTGGCGGGGAGAAATGAACCTTCTGAATGGTTCTACAAATTCATTCTCCGATCGAGCGCCAGTTGAAGTGGTGAATATAAAACAAATCACCCGTGCTGAAAGCTTTTACGAACCCAATCGATTGCCAATACTCCTCGAGAAATAAGTTCGAACACCGAGAACAAATTCTGATTCGGAAAGGGAAGGGGAGAAGACGAAAGCGGAGAGGGAGTGGATGGAGGGTACTGTGACCAACAACTTCGAAAACGCGAATTCCTCCGACCCAATTCTCCCCCACTAGACTCAGAAATGATTGATTCATTGATTACTTGTGTTTCCAGGCACTTCAACTACTAATGTTGTGAGTCCCTTAAGTGTAGTTAATGTTTTTGATCGGGAGGAGGGGGGTGATCTTTCCCCGCTGGATGATTTCGAGATCCGGCGCCACTCCACCGTCGTCTAGCGGGGTTCTCCCAACCAGGTGCCTCTCATCTGAGCGTCGCCCCAACCCGAAAAAAAAATCTTAGTTCCCGACCGTTCTCTCGGCATGTGCGGTAGTGTAGTGCATTCAAGTGTAGGTGTGTGTAAAGAGTAGGATATGACAAGGAATGAGAGGCAAATAAAGCACGCGGCCCGTGGCCCGTTTGTTAGGGTACTGCTCCGGCATTCGCTTGGTATTGATCGGAGAAACCACGGAAAACTACCGATCAGAGCAACCGTCCGCTGGAGTTCTCCTCCAAACAGCGACAGAACTCGACCTCGCTATGATGAGTCGAAAATCCGGCCCAAATCCTGTCTCGAAATCCAGAACCTCCCGGTAAGAGGTACTGCAGTGACATCAGTAGATGCCCTGAGCCACCTCTCTCTGTCCACTCTACAACGTACCACCAAGCTACGCAAGTCTTACTCCAAACAATCTCTCCATGCCTGGCGCACCCGGCCTTACCCGGTCTCGCGTTGTCTCGCCATATGTTGTCCATGTTCCGCCTTCTTCATCCTCTCGTCTCCTCACCACTTCATCGTTTCACCCGGTTCCCTCCCACCCCACTCCGCGCCCGCACATCCATCGTAACGACGTATTTGTGTGTCGCTTAATTTCTGCCGCAGCGCACGTGCACCGTAGTAACTGGTACAAGTACTTAAGGAGATTGATTTTACTCCGGGATCCCCGTCATACATTCAAGAAACTGCGCCGCCACTCCCGTTCCGCAAAGCCTATTAAAATTTACTTGCAAGGATCACCGCCCCGTGCTGAACTTGGGCGGAGCGCGCGCGCGAACTGGGATGGACGAAAAGGCCGGGGGTGGGTTGGGATGGGCGGGGGAGCGGCAGAAGACGCAGACAGACGCGCCGGACCGAGAGTGGGGAAAGGGTGTGGCGGCGGCTGATTGCATTATCGCCGCCAGGGCGCGCAGGTGCGGCGCTGAGGGCGCAGACATTTTAAGCTCCATTTAGAAATTCATTTAGTGTCTAAGAAATTTGAGCGCTGGACCGCTTGTAACCCAGAGGGCGGGAAAGAGTAGGGTGGGGAGGGGTGGGTGCGGCTCAAGACCGCGAAGCGTGTGGTGACTGTGACGCAGAGGATGAAGGCAGAGGAGGGGGACGGATTGAGGGGTGGGGCTGGGGGTAGGGATCGGTTGTAACCGGGTTAGCGAACGGAGGGCTGGTGGGTTCTGTGGACAAATGTAGAAGGGATGCGATCGTCCCTTAGGGAGGTAAGGGAGGCAAAGGGTGGATTTGCGGAGTGTACAGATGAGACGTCGGTCCCTTTCGGAACCTAGTGCTGATCCGGCTTCCGGGTAGACGATCTATTTTTCCGTTTTGAAGATGACGTAAGTAGAGAA